CACTTCTGATTAGTTTCATACCTTATTGGAAGTGTTTTTTCTGGCTTCTTAGTTATAAATTTGAACCCTTTGACGTTACTTTGGTGCAGGTAACCATGAAGTACACATTTATATTGTTTACATTTGTACGAGTAGCTTGACACAATGGGGATTAAATGATCATCTGAAAGTCATTTAATATTAAGATAAGGTTTTATTTCCCCACAGATACTTGGGTTTGAAAGGAAGCTCTTCAAATGAAAACACCGCTTTTTAAAAGTTATTTATTTATTTATTCTTTTATTTACCTGCTTTGTTTTCTGGTTGTTGGCTTTGTTTTATCAAAGATTGTTTTTTTATATTTGCACATTTAAGTTGCGCCGTGGAGAAGAAGCCGAGGCCGAGGAACACGGCTCTTTATCTATTTTGCACAGAGAAACACAAAACAAATCGCGTCTAGCAATAACGGTTTGCCGACACCGTAGAAGTGAACGGTAACGCGCAACCTCACAAAAGCTTGTTCTCACTGTATGAATCTGTGAACTGCTGTGGAAAATACTACAAATTTGCAGTGACACACGTTTGGCGATCGATTGTGGTTTTTGTGATGCAGCACTGAGAACATTATTGTGGATTCCCAACCTGCAGGTGAATACACTGGCATGAAGCTGCTGTGAGAAGTCGTTACCACATCTTTCATTAAGATGAAGTGTCTGTGTGTGTGTGTGTGCATGTGTGTGTGTACAGTACAGCATTTGTTCATCCTGCTTTGATCTCAATATTTCTAACCTCTCTGTCACCTGAGGGAACTTTATTAAACTAACTTTATTAGACTAATTTAACAAAGGAATAAAAACACTACTGGCACTGTCTGGACCCTATTTCTACTAGATTCTACTGAACATAGGTAACCATATAAACTAGGTATATATAAGACACTGCTGAGCTCTGCTAGGCGTATATCAGGTTGCAGTTGTGCTGAAGGGCTGTTTAAGTAGCAATAGATCCAGAGTGTGCCTGCTCCATATGAACCCCAACGCTCCAAGCCATGCTTTCCCACTGGGTGGTTAATAATGTGCCTGATTGGTTCATGAGCTAGATGAGTCTTTGATGTCTTGACTGGCAGACTTGGTTGGTTGGTTGATTGAACTGATTTTTACTCTTTTTGACACCGGACAACGTCCCCCGCCGTATGTCTCCGTCACCGCTGTGACTCTCCCTCACAAATTGTTGAGCAAACAGCACAGAGAGCTGACTGGCCGATGACACCTTTAAAATGAGACACAAAGAGTTCAGATTGAAGCCAATCTCAGGAACAAACGCAAATGAACAAATAAAGTCGCTACAAAGCACCATGAAACAGCATCGTTCAGAAATATAAATGCTGCCTTCACATTGACGTCCCGAGGCCATGTATTTAGCCAGGGAAATAATATAAGTGCAATAACAGTATAAAATCTGTACACGAGTGATACTACGGGAACTCGAGCTGCTGACAAAATCTGACATTTCCCTGTTGTTTCTCTATTTTAGCTTATGCTGCTAAAACAGTAAACACAACTGCATTCCAAGGCACCGTAACCCTCTGTACCAGCTGCGATGTGCATTCATAACTTATCTGATTGTTTTCCTTGAATACATAGAGTTGACAGGTTAGGTCCAGTCCACAAAATGGGTTTATTGCAATATTTTCTAATTATTTGGAAGGTTTCACAAATATTTCTGGTTGGAAATTTATGAACACAAAGAATAACAGGTGAAAATGTTGGGTTTTGTGCTGCAGTACCACAGTTAGCCACCGGTGGAAAATGTCACCTCGCTCTCCTTGGTTCCCATAATACATCCCTGCTTCACGACATCAGCACTTCAGCAGCTGACGGGAACAGATGCACAAAATCGTCCTCACAGTTTAACTTTAATGAATCAGGACCTCAGACTCATTTGCACTGAGCACAACGCACGGTTGAACGTTTGCTGTCGGTGTAAGGACACTTGGCTGCTCCGGCTAAGAGTCTGTTCAACAGCAACACGACACAAAACAAAGACCAACCTCAGCTCTCTGTGCCTGGCCGTCAGTTGATTGACAGAGGTAGAAACGGACACAGCCCATCCGTGCAGGAAAGGAGGACGTAAGATGGAGAATAACATCTGTGGCACCTTCTTTCCTGTTCTGATGTGTAGAACTCAAGCATGTTTTGGAGGAAAGCTGCAGGTCAGTCCTCGTGGTGCTACAGAGGGGTTGGGAGAGTCCAGATTAAGATCTGAATCCAAACTCTGAGAATGAGGATCTCGGCTCCTTCCTGCCTTTTTTCCCCTTTTTAAAAACCAAACGCTGCTTTGTCATCTCTACACAGATGGACAAACATCCATGCACCGATAGGGAGGAAATGCACAGAAATGAGGTTTCATGGTTCATTATTATTACTATTGTTACTATTAACTGTGTGATAAATGCAATACAATGGTTGTGTAAACAGGCAGTGAGTGATGCTGTGCTTTATTTACAGTATCAGGATAATAATAATAATAATGTTTGTAATTGTTTCCTTGTCATGGATTTGGTTTTTCCAGGCTTCACTGCTTCAACCACCATCGCCCCATTTACACCGCAACTGGTTTCGCAGTGGTTGTCAAACTGGTTTCACCAGATCTCCAGCTTCATATTGGTCTTGCAGAAACCTCGTGAGAAGTTGCCTTTTTCAGGAAGGTAGGGGAGGATGTGAGGTGCCGTTCAGTCCAGCCACAACAGAACATGTGATGCTGGTTTTAAGGCGGTGCTGATACTCCAAATTTATATAAACTCAAATTTAAACTTGGAGATAAAACGTTTCTTAATATTTACATTTTTTCTGGAATACGCTGAGTAGACGCACGCCACAGCTGGAGGGTGAAAACTTTGTAACTTTAGGCAGAAAGACCAGAAATAGTATTTGCAGGTCAGAGTCCCTGCATTTACCTTTAGTCTGCACAAAACACCTCAGAGTCCAGTTCCACATGGTTTTGTCCCCGTCAGAGTTGTTTCACTTCTCCAGTGGCTGATGGTTTCGTACATTTAAAGTCAATTTAAACAGTTCCAAGGTTTTCCTCTGCGACCAGTGAAACCTCGGTGTAAAGGAGGCGACAGCTGTGCCTCAGTGACCCCACCCTGGTGTTATAGAGACATTATAATAATTACAACTATTATATTATGAACATATATATATATATATAATTTTTAGTACTTTGAGTTGAAATACTTTTTAGTATTTTGCAAATACATGTCTGTATATAAAACAAAAGCCTCCTGTAATAAATTGCAAAAAATTTAATACTGAATTTGTTGTGATGTTTTTTTTTCATGTTCAGTGTGAGTCAGTACTTTACAAGTACTTGTACAGGTACTCGTTCAGTGTGAGTGTTTTCATGTGATCTGTACAGTGTGTGCGTGCGTACGTGTGTTTCATTGTCTCATTTTCTACAACAGGAGCTTTGGAGGGCAAATGGCAGCAACACTTTAGGAAATGTAAGTCTGCTTAATCTAAGTCTGAATCTACAACCAGACAAACTCCTGTCTTCCATCTGGTAGTGTCTATCCATACATGTAATCTTGGTGTTTATTTCTCTGGGTATTGGTCTCCAAAATGTCTGCCTCCACCCACATGCAGCGGAGGTGAAGGGAAGGATATGTCCACATTGATCTGGCCTCTCCATCTGCCTTTTAGCCTTGTGTCTTCAGATCTTTAAACTGTTGCTGGATGCTTTATTGTGTCATAGTGGCAGGAGGTCGAGGGCAATGGTCTTCATACCTGTGGACTCTCGGGGCTTAGGAGTCCAGTCCTGGCTTTGCAGAACTTTCTGGTACAACATCCCCCGCCGCCCAGGTGCATAGACTAGGAAAAATCCGGTGAAACGGTCAAAACTCCAGCAACACTTGCAGTATAGAGAAGAGCTTTGTTCCATGCCCGGGGCGTTTCGGCTTGCGGTCGTCTTCAGGGTCTGTTGTCTGCCACAAACTGAGTAGAGCTCGAATTGTGGTCATTTGTCCTCTAACATTTTGGCAGGGCTGTAATCCATGAGAGTTTCCTGCTGTCTGACACATATATATGTTGATGTGCACTGTCTGAGTGTGTGCACGCCAGCGTGGCAGCATTTACTCCTCATGCTTTGTGATGTCAGCAGATGGACGGGTAGCGGCCGCTACACGCTGGACAGGACCAGGCCCCACGGCACCCGTCGCTCTGGTGATGTCCTTTCATCCCATGCTCATGTGTCAGGGCAGACTGAAGATGACACTCGAAGCTGCTGCTGAAAACTTGTCTGTCTCTTTTTCTCCTTCTCTTCTCTTCTCTTCTCTTCTCTTCTCTTTATTTCACTTCCTGCCTCAGTTCAGTTTG